TCAGTGCTTCTCAAGCTCCAGTGTGGGTGCTGAAATAATTAGACATCATTAGAAAAGTAACTTGCATGATAAGCTGTGAATGTTACCCAGCTGTTACTAATTGACTCCATATATCAGGCTTCCTTCCCTGCATGCGGTCAGATTAGCTGGAAAAGCTGCCAGTGCGGCGACAGAGGTGTTAAAAAAGCGTAGGATTATTTTCCAAAGTCTCGTGTGAACAATTTGTACCTGCAGTAGTTAACATATTGTCACGGTCTGGCTGGCAGACCGTGGGGAGATGGGGAAATAGGACCCAAACGCCGGACTCTTCAGTGCAACAGTGTTTATTTACAAGGTGGTGAAGTAAACAACAATAAATCCCCAGTTTCCCAGACTCCCGTGTAGTGTCTTCTTCCCAAAGTCCCCGTGTAGTGCTCTCTGCCCCAGTGTCCCTGCACTCCCCGTGCTCACTGCTCCTTCTCGTCCCACACTCCTCCTGAGGGGAAAACAATAGAGGCAGCCGTTACCCCTTATCCCAGCAGGCATACACTCACACTTGACTTGTTTGAAGACTGACGTGGAGTCAAACGCAATAATCCCGCGTCGGTGGAAGCTCCATCGCTCATCTAAATAGCTCCCCCGACGAGCCCAGATGAGGAGCAGGTGTGCGGCCAGGACTTCGGGTGTGGCCAGCCCTCAAGTTAGACCACGCCCCCAGGGCTGAAGGTGCCTGTAACTTGGCCACAGCAGAAAGGCAAAACACACACACATACCTGCCTACATACAGATGTGCATAGGGGCAGTGCAGACAACACACCAAATAATAATAATAACAATAACAATAATAGTCACAGTCCCCACTGCCCACGGACCCCGAGTCCCCAGAGCCGGGTCCGTGACACATATTGTGTAAGCAGCACTGAAGATGAGATTTGACAGCATAGCCTATATTGCTGTAAATCCCTGAGATGATGATGCAGCTGCTCATTCTGAGAATTCAAATAGTTGTTGTGTTTTGATAGCAGCGGTGACACGAGTCACACTTATCAAATAGCTCAGCTGTAGGCAGAATGTCCACTTTGCCTCAGTATCCATATCTGACTTCATCCCTGCTTCCTCTTGTTTCATGTTAAGTGTTGATCTCGCCTATTAAAGAGGCAAAAGCTGAACAGAGACATTGACGGCACAGAGGAGGAAACTTTTCTTGTCAGTGTTTGCTTTGTGCCAGAACCCCAATGCTGGATTATTCGTCTCTGTTATCTGTATTTAGATCACACAACTGCACCTCGATCGTGCTGATGTGATGTTTCAGACGCACACAGCCACTGCTGCTCACAGATGTCCTCGCCGTCTCCATCGCGAGGTCGTCTAGGCTCGCGTGATGTTGGGAAGTGTGTCCACCTCTCCGTGCTCATTCAGAGGACAGCTGAGTCGCTCTGCGTCTGCTGCCTCGCTGCAGGCTGCATGTTGCAGTACTCCGGCTTACTTTAATCTGAGTATGTTTACTGAAAGACGAAGCCCCGATCGTGGTCGTGCATCCGCTTTATGATTTGACTTTCTGCATTTATCATCAAGACTTCAGTCACAAAATCTTTGTGTCCACCGGTTTGTGTTAAATCATCCTTTTGCCCAGTTACAGCACCAAGGTTCTTCAGCTTGTGCAGGTGTGTGAGTGCACGGCAGACACACAAAGATGATTCTGTAACTTCTTAAGAGGTGAACATCATCCCATCACAGTTTCTGGCTTTTTTCTTTAGCTCTGGTAGATTTAAATTTATTGAAAGGCAACTGCAGGAGCTATTTCCAAGCCGTCGCTGTGTTTGTATAGTTTTGGAAAATGTAACTCTCGGATTTAATTTCAGCACAATCTTTGAGGAATCAGTATTTCGCAGGCTTGTCCAAGAGCTTTCTCTGGGGAACTGCAGTTCCACAAAAGTATTTATTGGCGTCACTTTTCTGGCTCACTGGCCTTTCGAGCACTTTGAAATGTAATCAGACGAGTTACAAAACTTCCATATGGCAGCGATAAATTGAACTGCACTTTCCTTCAAACTTTACCAGCAGTTATGTTGCGAGTCACTTTGCCAGCGCGACGTAATTACAGCTGCGTCGGCCTCAGTTAGTGTGTGACATTCAAAACAACACAAGCAGTACAAGTTATCGAAAATAAGAACTTTCAGTGTTTATAGCATCATTTTCATTCTTTTAACTCAATGCTCCTCCAAAATCTTTATGGGCTGAAGGGGAAAAGGCCATTGTGAGTCAGATCCATTAAAGAGGAAAGCTCTTATCAAACAGCCTCGTGAAAGTCAGCTCGGTCTCTATTAAAGATAATGAAGGCGGTTACTGAGTCGATGTTTCGTGCTGCTGGTTTCAGACGTTCCCTAAAAACGTGGTTGATGAAATTACCTGTGAGTGTTTGCATTGTATCCTTTTCAGACGGCACTAAATGACTCCGTTTACATATCTGTGTGACTGAAGTCTGGAAAAAATATGCGTTTTCTTCCTTTTGGGCACAAAAAACCTGCAACAAGGAGGCATCCAAGACAGATGCCCAAACCACCTCCTCTGAAAGGAGCAGTGGTCCTACGCTGAGCTCCTCTCACTGCCTCTTTCCTCTACATCTGTATTTTATTCCTCCCCACAGTTCAAGGGTGTTTGTGAGGGAACTAAATTGAATCGACAAGCAAACTGACAGCATCGCCTTCGGGCTCTTTTGTTTTTTTTAACCACTACAGACCTGCACAGCGTCTGTAGTGATGCACTCATCCACCTGTCAGTCACCCACCCCACCCTGGCCTCCACTCAACAAGACCTCGAGGTGATTGAACTTCTTCACCTGAACTCCACCTAACCCCTCGCATCCAAAAACACCCCTGTGGATACAGATAGAGACGGTCCTGGCATGTCTGAGCAAATCCATCGCAAACATAATCTGCTCGACAAAACAGCAGTGGCACGTGTTCTGTGACTGACAGCGACTATTATTAGCATGTTCTGATATTCCACGGATGTATGCAGTAACAAGCAGGGGATGCTTTACTGTACTGTGTTTGCTGAACATTCAAGCCCCCCTCTGCAGTCACAGTTTTTGGGCTGTAATGTATGTGTGAAACGGAAACGACCACAGATGTGGCGACTTCAGGGTGGAGCCAGTCAGACTTCATTCGGGATGAAAGAGGGACTGCTGCATGTTTTGACAGAAGCACTTTACCCTCAGTATTGATTCACAGGTCGCCATCCTTCTAAGATCAGGGACACCAGTGTAAGAGGCTTCAGGTGAAAGGGCCGCTGTATTCATTAGACACAACCTAAAACATGAACCTAAAACACAGCTGTTAATAATTTATCACCGAGTGCTCCATTTCTTTTTAAAGCCTTAGCCTTTATTTTGAAGGGCCGTGCTCCTGGATGAGCGATGAGTCGCTGATCCAAACTGTTAGCTGACTCAACTGTGACCGCTAAGCTCACAATCAGTGAGATGTGCAACCTGACACCCATCCATTCCTGTAAGAGGCAGCGCGAGGCAACTGTGGCGCCAGGTGGAAACAAGGGCAAATGAAAGGTGACATCACTGATCTGAGCTGAGTAAGCTATTTTTTTCTTTCTAGGATGAGACGGTTTGGTAAGACGGCTCAAACCTGTAATATGCAACCGCCCGGCATGTGTAGATGAAGGACTTGACTTACGACCGAGGTCTCAGAGAGGCAAATTAACAGGGACAGCAGAGGAAAGTAGAGCAGGCTGACGCTCGCACGGGCTTTCAAAGATGAGTGCACACACACACGCAGAGGAAGAGCACTTATTTAAATACAACGTTGGATTCAGACAGTGCCTCACTGTGCTACTTCCTCCCTGGAGGATTTCACTATAGAAAATGGGAGAATAACAAGGAAGCTGTGGTTTTATAATGGTTTTTAAAATTAAAGTGTACCCATCTTATCCAGAGTATGCATCTGTAAGTGGGACTGCCATGAAATGAGTATGTCTTTATTGTAGCTGTATCAGATGGCATCCTCCTTACATGACTGATGAACTGGGACTTTGTCTTTTTGATGGTGACACTGAGTCTAATTTACTCTCAACTTTTCCAAAGCATGCGCTGAAAGAGGAAAGCAATAATCTGTTCTCATGAGCACATTTTGTCTTCCTGATATCAGAAACACAACAAATTATGAAATTTTATGCGGTCGAATAACTACAGGAGAAACTATGAACTCATTCGTCCAATCACCAGGCGGCTCCTGGATTTTGAGCCTTCAGCGTTTCCTGACAAACTCGACGTTCACATGTGTTAAAAACAGTGACTGTGCTGCAAAAAGACAGGTTAGAGCTACACAGTGCCTCATTCAGGTCTGTGTTATCCACTGAATGAAGTGCCTTGCTCCCATTGGCTGCTTCTCACTGTCAGTCATACATCATCCTCTTCTTCTTTCAGCTCCCTTTAGGGTTCGCCACCGTGGATCATGTGATTTTGTCTCAATCTATCCTTGCGTCTTCCTTCACTACATCCATGAACCCCCCCTGAGGCCTTCATCTTTTCCTCCTCCTTGGCAGCTCCATCTTCATCCTCTATGCTCCTTCCTCTTCATCCTCTATGCTCCTTCCTCTCCCTCCTCTGCACGTGTCTAAAACATCTCTGCCTTCCCTGTCTAACTATCTAACTTTGTGCTGTCCCTCTGCTCTCCCCTAATCCTGTCCATCCTGCTCACTCACAGTGAAGATCTTAGCATCTCCAGCTTGGCCTCCTGTTGTTCTGTCGGTGTCACCGTCTCCAAACCGAGCATCACAGCAGGTCTCACTACCGTCTATGCTGCTGCTACAAATCCGTCCTGACACTTATCTCCACCCACTCCACCCTGCCTGCACTCTCTTCTTCACCTTTCTTGTCCACTGTCCGTGGCTTTGATGTTCTGTAGCCTTAAATCATCATTTAACATGATGATTCCTGGTTTGGAGTTCGGTTACTTGTGGTCGGTTTCAGTCTCTGTAGCCTTAAATCATCATTTAAGGCTACAGAGACTGAAACCGACCACAAGTAACCGAACTCCAAACCAGGAATCATCGCCAGTCGTGATACAAAAATCCATCTTTCTGGTACTTTTTTATGAACATGCAAGACTAACAATAATGTGTTAAAGCTCCTATGATATAAGACAAGTCCGAGCTGACAATGTCCCACAGAGATGTTTGGTAATGACCTGTCATCATACTTCAGGCCACAGGATACCTCTTTAGTCGTTTTCTGATGTGCAGGCTCGTTTCAGTCGGTATTAGGAGACGGGAGAATCACAGGACTTTGACAGAGGACACAGGTCTCGTACAATGAAGTTGTAGACTTTCACCTTTTATTTCACGCTGGCTGATTGGGCAGATTTAGGCAGTGAAAATACTGACTGGTTTAAACGCGTCCTGTTTCAATGATAGCACGTGTTAAAGGGTGAAATTCCAACAGCGACAATAGCAGCAGGGAACATTTGGCTACAGCCTCACTCACTCTACAGGACATCTCTGCACACTGAAAATGTTGACACACTTTATTTTTGTACAGTTTTGGAAATTACTTCATGACAGAAACAGTAAAAAATGGTAAATCTATCCACTCATCTATCCACTCACCCACAGCAGAGGCCCAGACCTCCCACTTCCCAACCAACTCCTCCAGTTCTTCCAGAGGGGACACCAAGGCATTCCCAGTAGTAGCTGAGAGACATAATCTCTCCAGCATGTCCGGGTCTGCTCTGCAGTTTCCTCCCAACTGGACGTGACCCAAACACCTCTGCTATGACACATCCCAGTCAGACACCCAAACTGGGCGCCTTTCAACATGGAGGAATAGCAGCTCTGCTCCAAGTCCCATGCAAATGACCGCCTGACCCTATCGCTAAAGATATCCGGGAGAGCCTAGACATCCTATAGAGGAAGCTCATTTCCACTCCCTGTATCCAGGATCTTATTGTTTTGGTCACTAGTTTGTGGCCAGAGGTGAGCGTATAAACCTAGATGGACATTTTCACATTCATGCATCAGACATTCATGTTTTCCAGGTTGCTCTATATGAAAATAATTTCTTACAGGCAGCTGAATCATTGCAACACAGGTGGAATTTCTGATCTTTGACTGTAAATAAATGCAGTAAGTCCAGTGCAACAAGCTGCAAGACCAGCGTTTATTTAGGGTCATGCTTCTGACCGCCGAGCGCTCACCCACACAAACAGCTGAGCGAGTACAATAGAAGCCCACGAGACAGCTGGGCACAGAAACAGGTGGTACACACTGAGTCATGGTTTGTGTGTAGCCGGCAACGTGTCATTGCAGCTCTTTGTTCTGTGTGTGTGTCAGCAGATTACTGTGTACCCTGGGGGGTCTGAACTTGCTGTGTCAGGAAGATGATGAACGTTTGGATCTTATACAGAAGCACTTGTGTTGCTTTCTGTCAAACTTTAAATTCCAGCTCACCTCATTTCAAAAATCACCATTTTTAGACTTTTTGCAGCCACGTTTCTCTACGGAAAACTCCGTAAAAAAGTGGGCACTGGCTTTTTGCCAGTAGAAATCCCAGTCAGTCAAACTAACAACACATTTCTTATTTATATAAATCAGCAGCCAACTGTTGCAGCCGCCCACTACAGCACCACCCTCTCTTCGTGACAGGAAGTTATAAATGAGCACGCTGAAAAGTAAAAAGGACGTCAGTCAATGCACGGTAACTTCTGACCCCACTTCCGCCAGTCCCTTTATTGTGGCGGGAATGAACCCTGTATAAGTTCCGGGTCAATCAGCTGCATGTCCCTGCTCCTCTGGCTGCTGTTGTCCCTGTGGTTGGCGTACTTGTCAGATATCGACAAATTTTACACTACAGACCAGTTGACAGCGTGCAATAACCCGGCCGATCCATTCACCTTTACACTACCTCACAATCGACTCAACGGTGAGTTGTTTGTTTGTTTTGTTTTGTCACAATTAATGAAAATGCGGAGCCGCGATCGCACATCCGAAATCGCCGGTAAGCTAATGCTAGGCTAGCGACAGTAAGTGCAATTACTAGTTTTATTTATTGAATATTGTTGTTTTTGTTTATTCCATTATGGCCGAATGTTGACTTAACGTATCTAGAGTTGAACGAGTGATTTTATTTTTGTAGTTTTGTCCGTTTTGGATGTTTTTTGTTACTTTTCTGATGAAATGCCAAAACGGCCTATGAGATTTTGCATGGAGTTAAATTCCAATTAGATTGTTGAATCTGTTGCGCAACACCTGTGATTAAATGAGTTTTGTAAATATATTTGATTAACTTTGGATAATATTTATTAGCTTTATGGCTGATATACTTTGATGGGACCCATGAGAACGTTTTTCTATAATAGTATTTTGAATGAAATTCATTATAAGAGATGATGGTTTGTTGATTGTTGTGTGGAACATGGCATTAATTGTCTTTGTTATTTATGGATTTATGTATTTATTTTGTCACAGCAGTAGAATGCTGTTTCATTTTCTTCTGTGAATGATAATTTATGTTTTTGACCTTGTTTAGGTCAGGTTTTTTTTTCCTCCCGCGATCAGCCCTGATCAGCGCGAGATGGCGAGCCACCCGACCACCGCTACGTTGCGATAGGAATTGTGAACCTCTGGACTGAATCACTGAATCAAACTGTTGACACATGACCTATCACGGGTCCATGGAACTAAAATAAATCACATACTGGACTACACCTCATCCCACCTCCTTTTGGAACCTAATAAGCTGTTTTTTATTGTCAACATTATTTTTGTTTGTGATATATATGCATTTTTTTTGTACATCTGTCTATATAGTCCTCATAACAACCATAATATATATATTTTGAGCTCAACTTTGATTTCCTGTGTTTTATTCACACCCTCAGGCTCCATAGTCGAAACTTATTCTGACAGCTCATAGTCTATGAGGCTGCAGTCAGGCGCCCTGGTCCTTTAACTGCGTTACAACAGGAAGTTATAAATGAGCACGCTGAAAAGTAAAAAGGACGTCAGTCAATGCAGATCTGCAGTAATCTGATGTCAAAGTTCACCGCTGTGAGTAGGTGCGTCAGCGTAAAGTCATTTTCACCCAGGCTGCTCGTCCTAGCGCCGCTAATGTTAGACGCACTTGGACAATCTGACGTCATGCGTGTGCACGATATTGTGTCACACAGTCAGCTTAAGTCTGAGCATCATTAGCGGTTTAAAAAGGCCTCTGACATCTGCATGTGGATAAAGTTTAACCTCGTCCATTAGCGTGTGCTCAGTTTTAACCGTTTGAGTGTTTTTGCTGCTTTTAGATGCGTCGTTTTAATTTTCCTTCCATTTAATCGACTCGTAAATGAAATGCCAGGATGATTCCCAGTCACCAGTGATGTAAGGATACTGAACATACAGAGTGGGAGTGGGAGTCCCAGAGTTGGGACTGGAATGGAGATGGTGGGCGGAGTCTTTTCATTTAAAGTGATCATGTCTTTGCTTGCCTGCCATCAACTTTAATGACCTTTTTTAGAGCAGTTTCCTCTCCCGGCTTTCCTGATAAATAAGGACCTTTTTTGTGCTTTGCTACAAATGCATTGTGTGAGTCAGCGTGCAGGCCAGGCACCTGGGGTTTCCCAACACACACACTCTCATTTAGTTGGATGGCAGATGAGGTTTGGCAGTGCCAGCAGCTCCTCGCTCTGCCAACAGTGCCCTCGGTGCAGAGCGGGTGTTTCCCCGCGGCAGCGCTCCTCCACTCTGACCTGCAGCTACGCTCATTAATGTGTTAATTGATGTGAGCTCTCGTAGACACGCTGCCAAGTCTGGATGGCTTCAGATGCTCGGTTAATAACTTAAAAACTTAAGTGCTGGGACTGAAGTCAACAGGGACGAGTCTTCCTTCGCTAAAGAGCTGCATTTAAATCGGCACAGCAGCAGTTTCCTGCTTCGTGATGACAGACTCAGCAACGTAGTCCTGCCAGGAATTAAATATACTTCTGACTTTACAGGTTTCTCTCTAATCAAACATTGTTCATGGAAAAGTGGCCTCTGCCATTTAGCAGATTCGGAAGATGAAAAATTAATGAATGTAAGAAGCGATAAAGCAGTTTAAAGGTGGGTTCTTCCCTTTATGTACAACCATGTGTAAAGATGCTGCTGTTAATGCATTTATGCAGCAAGAAATGCACGGCCTTGGTGCAGTAATAGCGCAGCAATGGTCAGTGAGTGTGTGGAAGCAGAGAGCAGTGCAAAGATTAGACACGCACATGCATCCTGGTGGCTTCCTCTAAAAGCAGCAGTAATGCAGAGTGCTGTTGGGTGATTAGTGTGTTTTTAAGCCTGTATAATGGAAGCTTAGCCCAGTGCTCCACTTTCAGGGCAGAACAGCAAGCCCGGCCATCTGGACACTCGTCGACTCTGATGCTGGTACGAGGGCCGTACGAGGCCGCGGCACAGAACAAAGAGCCGGGCTAGAGCAGCAGCAGTGTCACTGTCGGAGAGAAAAGACGCGCTCGGTGGCTGTGGCACGCGTTTCTTTACCGTCAGCATGTTTGTTTGATTTTCTCACCATCACACAGGCTTTAACAACAATACTCACTGTACATCGTACTTTAAGACTTTCAGGCAGCGGAGTTCTTTCACACAAGCATCGATGCTTTCTTATGCATGAGGGAACGTACAGTAGATGGACCTGGCCTAGGACACACACACACACACACACTCCCCTCCCCCATGCCTCACGCTGTCTGATGATAATGTGGGGCAGGCCGATCAGCCAGATGTTTCTGGGTAGTGTGTGTGTGTGTGTGTGTGTGTGTGCACATGTGTTTTCACACCATGAGATATGCTTGTGTGTCACATTTTGGCGCCGTTCTCTTGAGCTGTCAGTATGAAATTATCCGGTAACAGAAAACTCTTCATCTGAGTTTGATCTTGAACGATTGAACCTTTCAGTATCAGCTCACATGATTTTTGTTAGTGCATCTCTGTCTCACCCTGACACACACACACACAGACATACACACACCAAAAATCTGTCATTCAAAATGTCTTGTGTCTGTGGATATTGCGGGGTTTTGTTGCCTCGATGGTTCGGGTTCGATTCTGGTTGATATGAGGTTAAAAGATGGACGTTCAGGGCTGCTGAAGGCGATTGGAAGCGTAACATCGCTGAGGACACTACCCAGCTCTGTCCAGGACTAGTTTCTGTGGGGGAGGGTTTCCAGATTAATCACCAGAGATGAACATATGCGTCAGGATGTGATGTCATTAACACGACAGAGTCCTGTAGCCTTCTCTGGCTTTGCTGAGCGGAGTACTCCTTCTTGACATCCTCAGAATACTTTATTAATCCTGAAGGAAATATTATTATGTTATTGTGTGCTTGCCCTCTCACATTCAGAGTTTATTTTGGATACATAATAACCAAGTTACTGGCACTGTGAGGGGTTTTATTCCACCCATAAAGAATAAAGTGAGAATTTCAGAGCACCAATAAAGTTCAGGGATGATTTTAGCATCGGTTTACAGCTGTTGGGTTTCAAAGCAGCAAAGACATGCATAAATAAATGTTCCCTCAGTGGTTGAGCATTTAGTGAGTCCACGCTGCTCGCAGCCTTTAATATTTTTCTTTAATTTAGGTGTTTGAATTCTTCCCTTTTTATCTCAAACCCAGAAACCTTTCTGTAAGCTAAAAGCTCGAGCTGCAGTCCGGCGTCATTAGACAGCAGGTCTCACACACTGCTAATAGATTTCTATTCTCCTCCAGGCTAAGACCACCGAGCCAAGATTAGAAACAAGGATTTATTTCCTTCAGAGTATTCTCCTTGTGTTCACTCCTGCTGCCGAATTCATGCAAATGCAACTGAAAGCAGAGAGCTAATTGAAACGCAATATTACACAACCTTAGAATAAGATTTACAGGTGATCAGAGTGGGACTGCAGGCAGAGAAAGAAAGAGATGTCATAATATGAGAAGATGCAACAGATGTGAGGTCTGTAAGACAGATACACTGCAGAGTGTATGAAGAAAGCAGAAAGATCTTACAACAAAAGGGAAGAGTGAAACGATTGAGAGACTTTGCAGGCAGGCGGAGAGATGGAAGATAAAGGGAAGCAAAGGTCGTCTAAATTGTCGGAGGAGAAAAACAAACCAGTGTAACGTGAGGTGACAGAAGCTGAGCTGAGGGAAGCAGTGTCACGGCTGCTGAGCCGTGTGGTGTTGGAGGAAAGGACCCAAAATGCAGGCAAGCGACGGATGATATGAGCGAGAGTTTATTTACAGAGTGGCAGAGGGACAAAAACGAGCAATGAAGCGCGAGCAGTTACTGAAGAAAACCTAAACTGGGAAAAACTAAAGAGCAAACCTGAAATCATCACGAAACGGCGTGAGGGGCAGAGACGCACGATACCAAGAAACACAGACCGACACCCACTATATACACACACACAGGAGGGGAGAACAGCTGATCCTAATACACAAGACGACCTGAGGAAACAAGCTGAACACAGTGACAACAAACACAGACCTTCAAAATAAAACAGGAAATCCACAACACGAACAGGGCACAAGGGGAGGACACAGAATACCAACATCAGAATAAACTAGACAATAATCATATAAAACACAAAACGCTGGGTCGACCCAGCACCACGACAAGCAGGGTGAAGAGGAGAGAGTGAAAGCCCAGAGCGTCCTCTTCATCCGTCATTCAGCCTCTGCAGATAAGTGCTACTGACCTCATTCCTCTTCCCCCTTTCCCTTCTCCCCTTCGTCTTGTTGCCTGGCTGATCGAGGCGACAGATTGTGGAGTAAAATGATGAGGGGAGAGTAGAGGAAGAGGTAGAAACGGGGACAGCAGAGCGCTGCATGGACAGTGAATGCGCTTCAGTTTTTCACAGTGGAGATTTATTTCCTGACTTGAATTGCATCTCTTTTGGTTCCGGGTGCGATGTTCTCTGAACGATTCTTTCATTTTATTCTGTTTTTAAAGTAAAGCTTAAGAGTTGCCACAGAACGGCACTAAATTTGTTGTTTTACCTTTTTTCTTCTCGCTGAGTGCTTTTCTGCTGTCTTGTGCCAACAGGGCGAGACCTGAAGTTGCGTCAGTTATATAAAGCAAATGATGTCATGGCCTCCCATGTAAGCCTCCGGGTGCAGCCCCGCGGATGCTCTGCTGTGAGAGGACACTCGGCTCCTTTAGCTTCACTGACAGTTGCTAAATCATAAGATGAGCACATGGTCTGCATACGTTCTACATCACACTCAGTTTCACATCTTCTTGTTCATCACTGCTGCATCTTTTCCTGACGTCAGGTCCTCTGTGTTCAAACTCGAGTATTCTTTCCCTTTATGATATCAGATCACTGTCATGCATTTACCTGATCTGATTGCTGCTCAGTGCCTCTCACACTGATGCCTGACACCTAGAAAATATTCCACTAATGCATGTATTTTAAATAAAGTCACTGATAAAGTCCAGGCTTTACGAACAGTAACAACGATTGATTATTGACGGAGCTGAAGATGCTGCTGAGAGCTCGTTCAGTATTTTATTGGTCTGGATTGTTTTTGTCATTTCTCAGATAGGATGTGTGCGATCATAATGTCTGTAACATCTTGCTATCCTTCTCTTGTTCCTTTTCAGGTAACCTATAGCATCATATAGCAGTGTAGACTGTATATGAAAGATGGATGGAGCCAGTGAAGAAGCTAAACTTCTTCTAACAACCACCACAGTTTATGATGCTAATCAAAGGAGCTTGCAAAGAAAAGCGTCTCATCACTACTTTTATGTCTTATTGAATTCAACATGATGCTTATTTTGCAAATTAGGGCCCTGCTGCAGCTGCATTTGTTTAATCACCTGCT